CCCGCATCGGCCTCACCAACCCGTCGCCGTGCACGTTACCGCAACCGCTGGCGCTGCACAGACCGTTCACGTGATACAGCCCGCCTCACCCGCCGATCACCGCCGGCTGGTGACGCGCCTTCYGCCGACGACGCGCACGGTTTGATTTGTTCATTTTTGGTCGTTTCGTTTTCTCTCTCTCACTGTTTATAACCACGACGATGACAACGACGACGACGACAACAAAAACAACAGCAACAACAATAATAATAATAATAATAATATCATTGTCCGACGCCGTCGATCGTCGTCATAAGTCACAACTCTTATAACAATATGATGATATTGTCATTTATATGCGGTCATATGAACATTATGAACGCGAATTGCATATGATAACTTGCCGAAACCTGCACAGATATTATAACTATACAGCTTCACTAATTCACTATATCGGCTATATTATAATATGTTCCTACGACAAGGCGTATGCGAATTAGTTATCTGATGACGTATTACATTTGTTGTCTCCATAGTATACATAGACATAATATTATAATAAACAGGCGTRGTGAACTTGATGAAAGTTCTCAGAGGCGTGTTAAGTATTCCAGCCCCCTAAGACCCGATGAAGGCGTACACAAGCTTATTACGAATAACGATGAACTTCGTCGTGAAAACAATATTTTGTCAATAATTTACTGTCAGCCTCACAACCCACCACAATTCGCCGTTTCTCGATTACCCCATATTCGCCACGCCACRGCTGATACAAAGGTGTTTATAATAACATGTCTATTGCTATTATATAATATAGTTGTCACRCTTGGGCAATGTTCGCGAATTGTTGTACGTACCATTTACATACTGTATTAGATTTGTGCAATAATTCGTATGTCGATAGATGTACTATAAAATTATTTCACATAAACTGAATTAAGCTTTATGATTATAAAATATTTTTATTTCATTGATAAATATTCAATTATATTTAGGTAAACATTAATAATTTGTGCGATTGCTAAAACGAAAACGAAATTGATTTCTAAGCGTAAAATATTTGCTATAATTTCTATATGCCTGTTTAATTAAAAATAAAATTTTTCTTCAACATAAAACGAGTGACTTACACAAGTTTACCTATTATATTAACATACTCTACAAAATATATAATTGAGGTACTAGTTTCGTTTATCGTCTACTTTTAATTCGAACGATTAGTAGACATTGCCTAAGTTTCTATAGATCTACAGCCTGCAGGGTGCAGACATAATTGATATTATTATATAATAAGAATTTATTAGGCAGTTTAGTTATAAATCTGTGGTCGATAGGTACCGTCGGTCGATATGCGTATTTTCAGTTAGAGATTGCCGAAAACCAAAAATCGAAAAAAAAATAGCGGTACCCCTCTCCTCTATTGGTACATGCATAATATTATTATACATTAATCATTATTATTATTATTATTATTATTATTACTATTATTATTATCATTATTAAATTATTATTATATACGTTGTAACGCGCTTGTACCGTGTTTGTAAAAATAAAAACATTTTTGCCTATGATATTTTATTTATACAAACTATAATATTAATAGATTTATTATTGCAATTTTTTTGTCGAACGATCCGACCGATGATACATGTCGGATGCGTAGATATAATTTAAATCTGTATAAATAATACTTACAAACACCCTTCGCCTGTATTCGTTTTGTATATTTTAGAGTCTTTGTCTATAGTGCATAAACTTATATATATATATGTATATATATTTGAATATTTTAATGACTTTAATTCTAAACGATATAAATGTATACTTTTAGCGTGTAGAATTATACCGAGAGACTTTGCACTTTAAATTATATACTTTGTGTCGCAATCATAATATTATTAATCACAGTAAACATGAACTACCCCGTATTGTAAGTGTAACTCCCATAAGTATACATATATATACATGTATATAGATATATACATTATACATACAATTACTTTATGTAGTTTATAGCATTTTGTAAATAGAAATTAATTTTAGTTTGTTTAAACGGTGCAATTAACATTATATAATTTACAAAATATATTGTATAAAAACTATTCTTTATAATATTATTATGATATTATATACATACACGTAGCAACTGATATAGGTATATATTATAATAATATCTATCGTGTTATAATATGATATACTATTATGTCAATATATATTATATATAGGTACGAGAAACATATGTAACTTTTTTTCAATATTGTTTAACGTAATAATCAAACTTATAATATAATAAGGCTTATTTGATTATTACAAAACATACGTAGTTTCATTTATTTGTGCTATTTCTCGATGATTTTGTGCGACGCATATAGTATTAATATTATTGTATCAATTTACTGCGGCCACATTGCAACGGACCTGTTTATTAAAACAAAACCGAAATATATATTATTATTAATTGTTTGTTAATTACGTTTTGATTTTTGTTTCTATTCCGCTCGCGCACTGTTCACAAATCGAATGCAGCGTCGCTGAGCTATCGCATAGTCGAATCTTGTGTTGTAGACGTTTTAATTATTGTTATTTGTGAACACACACATAACTAWAATTATAGATAATATTTTAAACAGGACGTGGATTTATGCGATATTAAAAATTCAAATGTCTTAATCCTGATTAAAAATGAACATGATTCATGAAACACATAAAATAAAGTAAAATGTATTTATTATTATAAGTAAGTATAGGTACCTATATATTTTCGGGCAATTCAAAGTAAATTAACTTTCTTAAATATTTTATTAATCAGCCAGTAGGTAAGAAGTATTTCGTTAAATTTTTCTTTATTTTATATTTACCCTCTCACAGGTATATTTACAAATTTTCAATCATCATTAATCGTTAGTATGTTATAAATCGTAATATAGTAATACGAGTATAAGGAACATCGTACAAAAATAATAAATTTAATAAAATGGATTTTTATCTCATCTGCGTTATACGATCTATTGTTGCTCCAGTTCTTTGTTTGTTTTTCTACATTTAGTACTTTACTTTTTTGTACGATTCAAGTAGTTTTTAAACAAAAATGTTAGTTAAATATTTCACGTTTTTCCATACATATTTTGATAAAAATTGGAGCATAAAAAAAACAATTTATTTTTATATTTTTATTTAATTAAAATCTGCATCCTAATTATAATACATATTATTTTCTTGTATATGACAGAAAAGTTGACATAACGTGTGCGTTACGATATACTAGGTATGAATATTGTTGAATATATTATGTGTGGTCGTTTGGCGTGTAGAGTACGAAACCGCACTACACGTACGCGGTTAGGTACAATGCGTTTGTGTCTTGTGAGTGACACTCCTGGAGATAATTCATCGAATTCCTGGCCGATACGTGATTTATTTGAAAACGAACGGATTACACTGGATGAATAATAATAATAATAATAATAATAATATAAATTTAGCATTGGACGCACATATATCACTTGTCCATCTAACATACGTAGGTATAATACGTTATTACATTATTATATAGTGGCTTTATTTATTATTATAATCGTTCTTTTTTTCGAGATTTCTCGACAACCTGTCAACTCAAGAAGCGCTTACAGTATTTAGAGGCTACCTATGCGGTCTGTTTCAGGTAGGCATAACATACTACCAACATGTACGAGCACACTATTATTATAATGGTATCATATTATTATTATTATTACGATATTTTAACAGTCGGACGGAAACAACGTAGTACGCACATCTATGATCTCGGAGTGCTGTGCGCCGATTAAAATACACACAAATACACAATACATTATTGACTATTGTTATAGTTATGACTTAAAATGTATTTATTAAACTAAATTACAATATTATTGTAAGTACCTATCATAGGTGTGATGCGAAGTTATTTGTGTAATCTACAAATTATGTTTCCTATACGATCGAAATATAGTGTGTACATAGAAAAATAAAAAGCATAGTCCATAATATATATACTAAATAATTWTATGATAAAGGTCGTATCGATTGGCCGAAAACACAATTCGCCGACAGAAAATAATATAAAATATAATAATATAATACAAAGTCAATATTATAAAATATAATAGTATGATATAAAGTCAATAATATAATAAAACAAATTGAGTACTCGTAGTTAATTATATGAGTTTGAGTTTATTATGAGTTATGATGCGCTTTTGTTTTCTGTCGTAATGGTAACTATAGCTTAAAGTTTAATCGTTATCTGATACACGTTTATTACTTTATTGTAATCGTGTTTAGTGTGAGTATAATATGCTGTATGAGGCGCATTCGTGAATTAGTTAATAATCATCACACGCTGGTTAAGTGGTAAGYATATATTATAATAAAATGTATTTTGATAAATTGGGCATCAACTATTCGATTAATGTTAACCAAAAGGGATTTGTTAAATTGAAYTTTACATTAGTGTTATATGTTTTATGGGTAGGTAACTCACTTTTCAATTCAATAATAATAATTTATGAAATAATTTATAACAATTAATAATCGTTTTAACTAAGTCGACTAGATAATGTACAATACTCAATGATTTAATAYGATAAAGGTTATCGATAGTACAGCATAAACGTTATTCGATATTAATTTATTATTGTAAACATTTTCAGAGTGTATTATATGCCATGAGGCCTAATTATATTTAATTTATATTTAAATTTATAAATGGTTTTAAGAACTTTCTGATGTCTATGTGTGTCACTTGTTTGAAAATGCATCATTATGATCAGGTACATATACGTGAGAAAGGTAGAGATTCAACCCCCCAAAAATTGTTTGAAAGTTAGTAATTACTAATAATTATATAATTTATATACAACATTTATTTATTGATGAKATATAAAATAATACACAATTTTTATACATTTTTTATGAGCCTCCGCTGATTTTTTTTGTTTACGTGCCTAATTATGATTCATATTTTATTGAATACAGTTACATTGGTTTTAATGTGYCATACATACGAGTACATCTATAATAATTTCGTTTGTTTAAACGCGATAAAATAACTGTTACAACCGACACGACAAACAACACGTTTTGCATCGGTACCTATAACATATTTTGTTGTATTAGATACAAACCGTAMATTTTTGAATGACTTTGTTTCGACAATATTTACGAACAGTTTTCTTACTATTTCCGTCTTTGATAAGTATACACAGTTTT